TGAGATGGTGGATTCTAGATGAGATTCTAAGTAAGTCTCTTCTAGTTGAGAGGAAAATGTATGGAAATTCCGTCGGATTTATAAAAGTTTCATACCACTAATTTGCCGTGAAAAACGACTGTGATCAAAACAGAGTCCACCACATTTTTGACATTTTATGTACAAATAAACGTATTTTCACATCCACCGAGGATACGACCACACTTTTGGCACAACATCACAACTTGCCAACACTAACGCATCAGTTGAATGATTCTCTGAGATGGCAACGAGAAAGTACTATAGGTTAGGGTAGACTTACCATAGATTAATCGACCGAGCGGAAGACAATGCTTAGTTCTCCCAACCAAGTTGTCTTCTCAATGGTCGATGGTCAGGTTGTAGTTATGACGATGTGGCCTTGGCTTCGGCAGGAGTGGGGTATAATGCCGGAGGCGAGGTTGGAATCGCTGCAGGCTTCGGTGAGCAGGAGGCTACAGGAGAGGCGAACACACAAACACCAACGAACACATACACACACACACACACAGACACACACATAAGCAGGTCGCGGCAGACTCACAACCAAATGTACTCTTTTCTCTGGACTCGGCCAGTTAAGTTACAAGGTGTGTGGAGTCTGAGAGAGGGTAGCACCACTTGCGAGGCAGTGGGCAGGGCAACAGAATGAGTCAGCGACTGAGTGGGCCCCAGGAGCCACGATGTCAGGTCGAGGAGGGGACAATGTGGGTCAGTCCTGATTATGCCGACCGAAGGTCACTGCCGCAACAGGTCCTCTGGAGGTTCCAAAATGAAATGGCCGTTCTGGTTCACCTCGGCTTGTCATTGCGCTGTGTTTACGCTTTTGTGTTTATGCACGTCCGTCTATATGAGCCTCTGCGTCGGCTCTCGGAATCTCTGAGGCCTCGGAGCCTCTACTGGCCATAGGCACGGTTAACTGGGGGGAAATCGATTTGTCATGGCGAATCATACACTGCAACGCAGACACAAACGGACACACGCACCAATGCACGGACAAAATAGCGATGGATTCCGTCTTGGCCAAGTTGGGAGGCTCTGCGAGAAGAGGATAC